CCCTGAAGTGTATGCTAAATGTTATTTTGCCTTCTTAAACTTGGAAGTCTTTATTTCCATTTTCAGTTATATCCACCCCTACATGGAGCTAAAGAACAGAAGAACACTTTATGTTTCTACTTGTAGTTATGATGCTTACGTTAGACAAGGAAAGAGTAAGTACATGAGTTAGTGGAGGGAAGTGGAGAGGACTCGTCCGCACTCACCGCTAACTGAGAGGCATATCGCTCATGCTTCCTTCTTGGTCGCTGTAGTATGCATTCTTTATTTTCTTTTTTTTTTAGTATTTTAGGGAAGGATCTACAGGGTGTTCAGGGTCTCACTACTAGATTGGACTCGTAGTGATCTGCCTGTTTACAGCCTCCCAAAAACTGGGATTACAAGTGCAAGCCACCACACCCAGTCTTAATTGCTGTCTCAGTGTGCCCTGGGGGCGGGGCTGGCACAGTAGACCCAGGGATCAAACCCTCGGCCCCTGCTTGCACGTGCTTTAATCTGCTGAGCTATTTGGCTGATCCTCTGCAGTATGTATTCTGAGACACTTATCAACCTTAAATCTCTACGGGTGCCTTTTTAAACCAACCAGATGAATTCTAGATATTTGACTGTGAAGCAAATTCCTATTGAGCAGATCCTGTCTACCTAGGAAATTCCATTATAATATAAATGTTTTCTAAAATTTTTAGGATTTAAAATGTAATAAAAATCATGCTTTGAAAAGTTCAATGGCATCATTCCTACCATGTGTAGTCACAAATGATAAACGTGTATCTTCAGGAAATATTCAGGCCCGTTGCATATTGAGAAAAACTTGGAATTGCAGGAGCTCAAAAAAAAAAGAAAAAAGGAAAAAAAAAGAAACCAGAGCCATAGTCACAACAGTAAAATGGGTGTTTGTGGGTTTTCATTCGGTTTCTTACCAAATTAATGTTTTTCTGATTGCATACTGAAATACATGAGGGCCTTAGTGTGTTGTAATCTAGGAATCTGCGTGAACTGCAGGCCTCTCTGAGGCTCGCTTACCATTTGAAAACTGCCCCATAGCGTATGGAATGTAAATACAGGGGTTTTTCCCAATTCCCCAGTGCCACAGCTCTTCTCTATTCTTTTTTTCCCCTAGAGGACAGAAGAAAACATCTTGTGTTAAATTAAGATGAATTTTGATGAAGAAAAAATTGGAGAATTTACATTACCTGACTTTACTACTTTTACTATAAAGCTACAGTAATCAAGATAGCATGGTAATGGCAGAGGGAGAGACACACAGATCAGTGGAACAGAAGATAAAACCCAGATAGATTCACACAAATATGCCCAGCTAATTTTGACAAAATTCAAAAGCAGTCTAATGTAGAAAAAATACACTTTTCAACAAATCATGCTGCAGCAATCAAATATCCATAGATAAAAAGCAAAACTCAACTAACTAGCACATGCCATCAGACTTACCTCAAAATATGTCATTTATTTAAATGTAAGATGTAAAGCTATAAAGCTTTTAGGGGAAAAAACTAATAGTGAAAAAAATCTTTAAGGGATAAGTTATTGGACCTCAACTCAAAAGCATGATTCATAAGAGAAAAAAGATATATTGGACTTTGTCAAAATTTTAAAAATTGCTCTGTAAAACAAAGCGAAGCAGAGAAGGCAAGCTACAGGTTGAAATTATTTGCAAACCATAGAGTATCTGATTCATGTGAAAATATGCAATGAAATCAAACTCAACAATAAAATATAATCCAATTAGAAAATGAGCAAAAGACATGAATGGACATTTCACCAAAGAGGATATATGGATGACAGTTAATCACTTGAAACAATATTGAACTTCATAAATCATCAGGGATTGCAAATGAAAGCCACAGTGCAGTATGAATTATCAGAATAGTTCATGCAGAAGTAGTGAAAATGTCAAATGCTGTTGAGGATGCCAGCTAGATTTTTCATATGTTGATGATAAGAATGTAAAATGGTATAGGCATTCTAAAAGTCTAGAAAAGGAAATTTCTTCTAAAATTAAACATACAGGGCCAGCCGGATAGCTCAGCGGACTAAAGTATCTGCTTCGGCAGAGCAGTGGCTGGGGTTTGATCCCTGGCATGCTGTGCTGGCCCTGTCCCTGGGGCATGCTGAGACAGCCATTGAGACTTGGTGTGGTGGCTATAATCCCATCGCTTGGGAGGCTGAACACAGGCAGATCACTGTGAGTCAGATCTACGTAGTGAGACCCTGTACACCCAATACACCCTGTCCTAAATTCACTTAAAAAATAAAAATTAAACATTCTATATAATACAGAAAATGTACTTCTGGATATTTATCCCAGAAAAATGTAAACCTTTGTTGGGAGAGTAAATTGTACAAAAGTTTTCATAGTGGCTTTATTCAAAACATGGAAACAATGTATATCCTGCTGTGGGTGACGCAAGGAGTTCCTCTGTGTTGATGGAGCGGTGTTTTATCTAAATTATGGTGTTGAGCACATGAATTTATACTTATGCTAAAAAAGTCATCTGTGCCCTCAAGTACTGCCCTGTAATAGGAAGGAACAGGCTGTCAATACACAAAACACAAATGAACTTTAGGGATGTTAATAGTGAATTTAAAAAAGAATATCAAAAGGTCACAGGGGGGCGGGGAGATGGCTCAGTGGAATAAGCACTTCCCTGGCAAGTGCAAGGGCCTGAGTTCAATCCCTGGTTCCGCATTTTAAAAAAAAGGTCACATATTGTATGACTGCATTTATACAACATTCTTGAAATGTCAAAATTATAGAAATGAAGAACACATTAATGATTGCCAGGGATGGGGGATGGATGGGATGTGGCTTCCATGTGACTCTACTAGGATGACACCACGAATTCCTTTGTGCTGATGGAGCAGTTTGGGCTGGGGAGATGGCTCAGTGGAATAAGCACTTCACTGGCAAGCGCAAAGTCCTGAGTTCAATCCCTGGTTCTGCCAAGAAAAAAAAGTGATGGAGCAGTTTTTTATGTTAATTACCGTGGACACGTGAATTTATACTTATACTAAAACTGTATGAGCTGTACATACATTATTGAATGCATGTAAAATCTAGTGAAGCTGAATAAAGTCTGTAGTCTGCTAAACAGTAATTCTCCATCGTTACCGGTTGGCTTTAACCTTGTACTACATGTGTGGAAAATCTTGTCACTGGAGGAAACTGGGTGAAGTTTCCTTCATGCATATACATAGACTATACTAATTTTGAAACTTCCTGAAAGTCTATAATCACTGCAGACTAAACTTGTAAGTTTTAAGTAAAGAACTAGGGGCCGGGGAGATAACTCAGTGGCTTAAGCACCTGGCTGGCAAGTGCAAAGCCCTGAGTTTGATCCCCAGTACCAAAAAGAAAACAAACAAATAGGGGAGTAGGGTACCACTTTATAAAATAAGAAAAGGATGATAAAAAGAAAATCTGAGTGGGAATAAAATGATGTGAACATTTTTACAGGTGACTCTTGAGTATAAGTCCTTTTCTCTTTCTATGCTACATTATCTTTGTGTATAAAATGAGACTACCCAGAACTCAGAAGGCTGAGGCAGGAGGATTGCTGCAGGTTCAAGACCAACCTAGGCTACATAGTGAGTTCAGTGGTCAGTCTGAACCATACAGTGAGACCTTATCTCAAAAAACCAGAGAGAGAGAGACAGACAGACAGACAGACAGACACTAAAGTAGATGACATCAAGATTCCTTTTAGCTCAGTGTTCAGCCTTTTAAAAATGTTGAGCAAGGGCTGGGAAAATAGCTTGGCAGTCTTAAGTGCCTGCCTGGAACCCCAGAAGTCCAGGCACACCGTGCTGGCCACCAAAACTGGGCG